CTCCAAAAGCGCCATTTCTGACCAGCCTGTCATATAAGGTGCCAGTTCACGAAACTCTTGGATATACTCTGCCACCGGCCTCCGGCCCTGCTGAATGCTCTTCATTCTGAGTCTCGCCTTTCGTTCAGCTAAATGGTCTTCAAAACGTCTTCTAAGGGCCCTCATGAACTGGTTGTAATTTCTCAGCAGGAGGGAGTTGTTATTGTGGAGAACTACCATCCACTCAGCCGCCACTCCCTCTAGGGCATTCGCAACGCTTCTGACTTTAGCCGCATCTGTTTCGTAGTCCTCCCCCCAATCCTGCATGTGGTTCCACACTTGGGTCAGGAAAAATCCCAAGGTTTTTCCATCAAACTTTCCAGGAAGGGGGGGGATTTTTGGCTTTTTACGTCTGCGGGGGGGGGGCCTGCAGGGCTGGGGTTCTCTGGCCGGCTGCATCTCTTCCTCGAGCTGCCGAAGCCTGGGATGTTCCCTCCTCAAACTCTCCTCTCCCCCGCAGGCTGTCTCTTCTGCCTCCCCCCTGGGGTCTGCTTCCCCCTTCTCCACAGGAGTTTCAAAAGACTCACGGTTTTTTCTGCTTTCTTCCACATCACGGATAAGCTGCAAGGCTTGATCTATCATGAGACGTTCCTTCTGCTGTTGCATCCACACTGCCTCCCTTTTTCGGGGTCTGGAAGTCGTCACTCCCCGGGGATTCTCCCCCCAGTCCGGCAGTCTGCCCACACCTTTGGACCATCTAGCTTCCTCCGGTTCCAAACGGAGTTTTTCCAGCCATTCTGCAGTTTCTCTTTCCGACTGGAGGGCGGTTGAACTCGCTGCCCCATCTTCCCTTCGTCATCACTCCCTCGATCTGACATACTTTGGATTTTCAGTCCCTCGGGTTTTGTCCGGGATGACTGAGATGACTTCCAGCTTAATGTCAGATATGCTTCCTTCAGTATCCAGGAAAGAAAACCCCAAACTCAAGCATTTTGAAGAATCTGGTACTTTTACTGAATATGAAAAGATTAACATCCCAGTGAAAAGCTGGAAGTGATCAAAACGCGCGAAATGCATCTACTAAGCTTCTTCCCCCCCTCGTGTTTATAGTTTCTCAGCCAATCTAAAGGTCTTCCAAAGGTCAGGTGGCAACACGTCTGGCAGCGTCATCCATCAGGAATGTCGAGACAGTTGGTCGGCCATCCCCTTCTGAAATCCAGCTTTCGATTCCCACGAAGTCCCCTCCTACAAAGACAAACCCCCTCCTGCTCTCTTCCCCCCCTTTGCTCCATACCTAATCCCCTCCCCGTTTCTTATGGCAGCTAAAGCAGGAAAGCTGATGCTGACAGTTTCTCTACATTTAGACATGTTGAATTCAACATATTATGATATATTTCAGAAAGTATTTAACGCAGACAAGGGCATTACTTTGTTTTGGTCTTCTGCCTTCAAGATATTGACTCCTGGTCATTGCTTGGACATGTCCTAGCAGTTTTCTTGACAAGATTTCTCAGAAGTTGTTTGCCATTTCTTCCTTCCTAGGTGAAAACCCGTAATAACAAAAAAATGCAATCTGAACCATATCAAAGGATTTTTTTTCAGTGTCCAACAAAACTTGGGATTGAGTCCAAGATATATACCTCAAATTCTTTCTTCAGCCGTTTGCATTGTCTCTAGTTCCTTATAATTGAATTAAATCCCAAAGGAAGAATGTCCTCCTAGATGACACTCAGCTACTTGCCTGACAGCACAGAGAGTAAAACAGATTGCTTTCATTCCACTCTGCACATTCCTAATATTATTTCTGTCTCAAAATATCCAAGGAACAATGTTGTTTCATGACTCACTGTTGAGGAAACAGAGACTGTCAAACTCAACTTAATTCTAATCTGTTAGATAAAGGAAATTGGATCATGTTCTTTACAGATGAGAATGTGTGCCAATTTCCTCGCCCAGTCCTTGAAAAATATGTGCTTTTCACAGCCTGTCTGCTAATTGGGACAATATTTCTGATATTGAGAAATGTTTTTCTTTACATTCTCCCATTTTTTGCCAGTCCAACCCACTGGGAAAACCAGTTTTTTTCTGCATCCCAAAGTGAGTCTTTTCTCTAGTCTAGCCATATTCAGTTCCTGCAACTGTTCTTAAAACATATGAAGAACAGTTGCAGGAATTAGGTACGGCTAATCTAGAGAAAAGAAGGACTAGGGGGAACATGATAGCAGTCATGTCATTTGGTCTCCTTGGGACATATGTTGTAACTCTGGTTACCTGGATGAAACCAATATTTGCTGGGATATAAAAATACTCCTTTTTCTTCTATTAAGAATCATATTAAGTGAATGGCTAAATGCAGAGTCAGCTATATGTTGCCAAGACAACAGTTCTTTATAATGATTGACAGACTGTCTTAGAAATAGCTGGCTGAAAATTACCATGATGTATAGTTAGGTGAATAAATCTAGATTGTTGTAAGAGAAATAGAAGGAACCCATGAAGGAAAATGTTCTGATGAACTTTTTTGGTAATTTCAGCCTTTCACTTCAAGATGTCATGCTCCAAAATCCATTACAAGATTTTTTCCTTGAGGTCAAGAGGGGAATTCACATTTATTGACAATATAAAAATAGACATGCATTAATATGGGCATTTTGAGTATCTGTGCTTTTTTGAGACCATACATTTATTAAAGTCATAAAACCACTTATAAAAATAGGAAAAGTGACTGATATAAGTAAGTGTTATAATGGTTATTATTTAAGCAGGCAATTAGTTATTGTTGTCAGTGACTCTCCAATATATTAATCACCGTAAGTCAATTACCACGGGCTGAGTCTCTCAACACGATTAATCAAAATGTTTTAATCATAAGTAGGATTTAGAACAAACGAGCCATTGATAACACACAAAGTCTATTTTTCGTTGGAAAAAGCCCCAATGGAGCCTTTTCTTGAAACTGAATCCATATTTTTTAGCAACACTTTTGTATATTTACCTGTGGGTGCTATGTCTTTAGCTTCTCCTGATATTAAAATGGCCCTTTTTAATGCAATGGAAGGGAGAAAATATTAGATATGTAGCTGAGCTGGGCACACTCCATCAAAGCAATCGAGCTGTTTGGTTTATTTTGGGGAAACTTAAGAGGAGGTGGAAGAGGAGAAGTTGAAGGTGGAGGAGGAGGAGGAGGAAGAGGAAGAGGAGGAGGAAGAAGAGGATGAGATGGTGGAAGACGAGGTGGAGGAAGAGGAGGAGGAGGAGGAGAAGAGGAGGTGGAATAGTGGTGGTATTCAGCTGGTTATTTATTTATTTTTATTTTATTAGTCATATTTCTATGCCGCCCACTCTCCGAGGACTCTGGGCGGCTTACACCAAAGACAGTATACTAAATAGCATATTGCCCCCAACAATCTATGTTCTATCCGGTTTGAGTGAACCGGTAGTGGCATCTGCGGGAGACTCTGCTCACCCACCCGGACATCATCATATCCCGTTTTTGATGCTCTGTGCATGCACAGAAGGCCCTGTGCATGTATGAAGGTCACACATGCGCACACTCACATTTGCGAACCAGTAGCGAAGGTAAGTAAATATCACCCCTGAGGTGGAAGAGGAGGAGGAGATTATTCTATATCAGCATCCAAGGTTGTTTCAGTGCTTCTAATTATTTTTATTTTATTTATTTATTTTATTATATTTCTATACCGCCCTTCTCCTGCGGGACTCAGGGCGATGTAATTAGCTCTGCAACCATTCAAGGAAACTATTCCATATGCACAACGTATGCACAAAAATCTTTGTGAAGTAATGGAATATCTAGACATGAGAAGTACAGGTAGTCCTCAACTTGCAACCACAATTGAGTCCAAAATTTCCATTGCTAAATGAGACAGCTGTTCTGTGAATTTTGCTTCATTTTATGGCCTTTCTTGCCACAGTTCTTAAGTGAATCATTGCAATGGTTTAATAACATGGTTGTTAAGCGAATCTGACTTCCTCATTGATATTGCTCGTCAGAAGGTCACAAAAGTTGATTGTATGACCTTGGGACACTGCAACTGTCATCAATACATGCCAGTTGCCAAGCATCACGTGATTTTGATCTCATGACCATGGGGATGCTGCAAAGATCGTTAAGTGTTCAAAACGATCATGTCACTTTTTTCAGTATCATTGTAACTTCGAATGATCACTAAATGAATGATTGTAAATCAAGGACTTCCTATAGAATGCATATTGTCTGAAAGGCTGTGCTAAATCTGGCAACCATTTTGTGTAAATCCTCACCACACACAGTCCACATTTTTAATGTACCAAGAATCTCCCTTTGACTTTCCCTTTGTTTCCCCAGGAAACAAATCCAGCCCATCTCATGTTAATGTGCTGGTGCCAAACTAATCACAATGGATCAGTTAATGTGCCCAGGAAATCAAGTGGAGAGTCTCCTATGATTTGATTGTGAAAATAAGGTGCTTTTTGTGCGACAGCAAGTCTGTATTTCCTTGCAGCATTGGCTCTTTCATGTATAGAATGAGGGAGAGGTTAGTTGCAGGCAAATCTTTTGTCCAGAAAAAAAAGTAGGAAGATAGAACGTAGAGTACAGGTAATTCTCATTTAATGACTGTTCAAAGTTACAATAGCACTGAAAAGAGCAACATGACCATTTTTCCCACTTATGACCTCTGCAGCATCCCCATGATCACCTGATTTACATTCAGATGCTTGACTACTGACTCATATTTATGATGATTGCAAGGTTCTGGGGTCATGTGATCCCCTTTTGCGACCTTCTGACAAGTCAAGTCAATGAGGAAACCAAATTCACTTAACAACTATGTTACTAATTTAACTACTGCAGTGATTCACTTAACAAACATGACAAGAAAAGTCACAAAATGGGGCAAAACTCACTTAACAAATGTTTTACTCAGCAACATAAATTTTGGGCTCAATTGTGGTCATAGGTTGAGGACTACTTGTAATGGTTTTATAAATACTTTTTTTATGATAATGTACTTTTTCAGAAACCAACCTGTATATAATTATTAAGTGTGAGAACAGCAAGATTCGGTCTCACTCTCAGAAAGGCACTGGGACTGCTGTTTTCAACACCCAGGCTGTTTTCTACAAAAGGAAGGTTGACAGTCCCATTATTGTCCAGGTAAGAGAATCAGTGTGATCTATATTTGCACTACTTTTGTGCATTCATTCATTCATTCATTCATTCATTCATTCATTCATTTATTTATTTATTTATTTATTTATTTATTTATTTATTTATTTATTCATTCATTCATTCATTCATTCATTCATTTATTCATTTATTTATTTATTAAATTTTTATACCGCCCCCTCTCCCGAAGGACTCGGGGTGGTGAACAGCCAAAATTAAAAAACACGCAATACAAACATTAAAATACTATAAAAACGAAATTAAATTTATCTTTGGCAATTTAAAACCCCTTACCCATAAAATTCCCCAGTTAAGAGATTTTTAACCCAGCCCGGCTTGCTGAAATAAAAAAGTCTTCAGAGCCCGGCGGAAGGTACGGAGGTCCAGGATCAGTTGTATCCCTGGGGGTAGCTCATTCCAGAGGGCAGGTGCCCCCACAGAGAAGGCTCTTCCCCGGGGGGGTCGCCAGCCAACATTGCCTGAACGACGGCACCCTGAGGAGGCCGCCTCTGTGGGAGTGTATTGGCCGGTGGGAGGTTATTGGTGGCAGAAGGTGGTCTCGTAAATAATGCTTGATAATATATGTTTATTTCATTTATTTATTAAATTTGTTTGCCATCCATCTTACCATGAGATGAATATTCATTTTATACCAATATGGTGGTGTGGACAAGAACTTGGATCAGGATTGGGCAGGAGGGGGTATATAGGGAAGAACCCAGATTTAAATCCAGACCTTGTCCTAGAAACAGGTGATTTTGAATCAGTCAGTTATAACAGATAACAGATTAACAGAGTTGGAAGGGACCTTATAGGTCATCTAGTCCAACCCCCCACCCAAGCAGGAGACCCTACACCATTTCTGGCAAATGGCAGTCCAATCTTTTCTTGAAAGTCTCAAGTGATGAAGCTCCCACAACTTCCGAAGGCAACTTCTGTTCCAGTGGTTGATTGTTCTCACTGTCAAAAAGTTCCTCCTCATTTCTAGGTTGAATCTCTCCTTGATCAGTTTCCATCCATTATTCCTTGTCTGACCTTCGGGTGCCTTGGAAAACAACTTGACCCCCTCCTCTCTGTGGCAGCCCCCCAAATAGAGAAGAAGGTGAGCCATGGTGGAACTGGGGGAGAGGATTTTTCTTTTGTCTTAAATTGAATCCCAAGAAATAACCAGAACTATTTGCCCAGAATTCAGTGTTAAAGTGGTGCCTAAGCATTTTGGGACGTTTTGGGGTGGGAACAGGCACTTGCGTGGTTTGGTGCCTTCGGGCCACTCGCGTTCTACACACACCCAGCGGGAGGGGAGGGGCTTGATGGCAGCACGCAAAAGGAGCCTCTATCTGCTGGACTCCCGGCTGTGAGTGCGCAGGCCACCCAGGGCCTCCTGCACCCCCAAAATAATAAGACCCCCGATAATAAGGCCAAGCCCTTATTATCAGGAAAACATGGTAGTTTAATGAAAAAAAAGGACCAGGGGTGACATGATAGCAGTGTTCCAATATTTGAGGGGCTGCCACAAAGGAAGAGGGGGTCAATTTATTCTCCACAGCACCTGAAGGCAGGACAAAAAGAAATGAATGGAAACTGAACAAAGAGAAAAGCAAACTAGAACTAAGGAGAAATTACCTGATAGTTAGAACAATTAACCAGCAGAACAACTTGCCTTCAGAGATTGTGGGTGCTCCAACACTGGAGGTTTTTAAGAACAGATTGGATGGTCATTTTGTCTGGAATGGTGTTGGGTCTCCTGCTTGAGCAGGGAGTTGGACTAGAGGACCCAGGTTAGGGTCCTGGCTTAGGACCCGGGTACTTACAAGACCGTCTTCTGCCACCGGTAGCCTCCCACCGACCAGTACGCTCCCACAGAGAGGGTCTCCTCAGGGTGCCGTCGGCCATACAATGCCGGCTGGTGGCCCCCAGGGGGAGAGCATTCTCTGTGGGGGCACCCGCCATCTGGAACGAGTTGCCCCCAGAGATATGGCGGATCCCTAACTTTCGTGCTTTCCGAACTGCCCTAAAGACGTTTTTGTTTCATCAAGCCGGGCTGGCCTGACCTACTCTTTTTAAAAAGAATTGTTTTAAAAAATTAGGGGTTTTAATATAGAGTTTTTAACTATGGGCCAAATTGATTTAATTGGATTTTAATATTGTTTTAAATTTTGTATCTGTGTATTTTATTTGCTGGCTGTTCACCGTCCAGAGTCCCTCGGGAGAGGGGGCGGTATATAAATATAATAAACTAACTAACTAAACTAACCTCCAAGGTCCCTTCCAACTCTGTTATTCTGTTAATTCACAACTTCCTAGAATCACTCATTGGTATTTCAAGTTTAAACACTGCTGGATTTTTACAAAGCGAAAGGCAATTGCAGTTGTATTTTTATACAGGGACCAGGATATCTGCCAGGAGCTATCTGACAGCAGCCTCAATGCTGACAAGAGGAAGAGAGAGTGGAATGTTGCCAGGTTTCTCCACAGAGATGTTTTTTTTTTTCTATTAGTACTGACACCCTGGATGCCCTTTAAGTTGGAATAGTCACTGCATGCAGTTGCGAGATAGTCGTTCAGAATTTTTTTTTTACTTTTCTTTTTTTTTAAATTTGATTTATATGCGGCCCTTCTCCGGAGACTCAGGGTGGCTTACAGTGCGTTAAGCAATAGCCTTCATACTTTTGTATATTTTTACAAAGTCATCTTATTGCCCCCACAAACTGGGTCCTCAATTTACCTACCTTGGAAAGGATGGAAGGCTGAGTCAACCTTGAGCCTGGCAAGATTGGAACTTACTAATTGCAGACAGCTGGAGTTAAATTACAGTGCTTAGTCTGCAGAGCTATCCAGGCTCCTGAATAATCCTGAAAAATGCAGCGGAAAGCTTCTAAATCCTTTGCCTATATGTTGCATTCCCATGAGAAAATCTCTCCAAACTGCTGACATCCAGAAAGAATACAGATAGTCCTCAACTTAGAACAGTTCATTTAGTGACCATTCAGTTACAATGATGCTGGAAAAAGTGTCTTTGGGCTGTTTTTCACACTTATGATCATTGCAGCATCCCCATGGTCACATGATCAAAATTCAGATGCTTGGCAACTGACTCGTATTTATGACCATTGCAGTGTCCTGGAGTCATGTGATCCGCTTTTGTGACCTTCTGACAAGCAAAGTCAATGGGGAAACCAGATTCGCTGAATAGATACTAACTTAACAACTACAGTAATTCATTTAAGTCTCACATAGCAACAGAAATTGTGGGCTCAGTTGTGGTCATAAGTCAAGAACTACCTGTACAGAAACCCTAAAGCTTTTCCTTAGGGTAATGCAGGTAGTCCTCGATTTACAACCACAATTGAGTCCAACATTTTGGTTGCTAAGCAAAGCAGTTGTTAAGTGAATTGTGCCTCATTTTATGACCTTTTTTGCCACAGTTGTTAGGCAAATCACTGCAGCTGTTAAGTGAATTGTGCAGTCATTAAGCAAATTTAGCTTCGCTCATGGACCTTGCTTGTCCAAAGCCAGCTGGGAAGGTTACAAATGGTGATCACATCTGGGACATTGCAACTGTCCTAAATACGTACCAGTTGCCAAGGATCCAAATTTTGATTTCACAGCTATAGCAATGCTGCAACGGTCATAAGTGTGAGAAACAGTCATAAGTCACTTTTTTCAGTGCTGTTGTAATTTTGAATGGTCACTGAGTGAACGGTTGTAAATAGAGAACTGCCTAAAGCTGCTAGCTTACAAGATGATTAATAGTAGTAAAGCAGCGGTCATCAAGACTCCACAAAGTCAACCTCAGCCCCAGTTCCTGGACATCTTCATGCAATTGCTTTGGTGTGCCATTTCTTGCAGGGTCTTGTTCTGGCTTTCAAATCTTATCTCCCATCCCTACAGTAATCCCATCTACAAGATGGAAATGATTATCATGATTACATTACAGTTAAATAAATCCAATTACACTGTTAAGAAAACAGTTTTTCAGCCCCAGTGAATTTGGCCAAAAGGATGTGCAACAGAGAGTAAACTCTGAGCAAAGTTTGAAGAGTTGATCTCGTCTGGATGAGGACTTTTGCATTGGACAATACCCTTTTAACTAAGGAAACACCTTGTATAAAGGCAATGGTAGATTTTTCTTTGTCTTCTCTTCACTTTAGGTCTGGCACAATGCTTTCTTTGACCGATTCCTGGGAGAAATCCGGTTGTCTGGGTCACCCAGTAACCCTCGGGATCTTCAGAAGTACCAACTCCATGGCAGAGGCCAGCAAGAAGCAGAAGTGCCAGGTCAAATCACTATCAAGATACTTTCCACCGATGACCTGGTAGAGCTATGAGTTGCAGAGACTGATAGGCCCCAAGAGGGAGCTATGTTTTTCATACATGTGTATGTTGCTGTTAGAATCCCTTCTTTGGTCCATAATCTCTGGCTTGCAAATGGACACTACCAAGACAGAGACTCTCTTTGTAAAGAGAAACGGGTGGGACCCGATTGTCATGATATGATGAGCTCCTCTTTCTTCTTCCCTCTCTTCAGATGCCGTTTACTTTACAGATTGTAATCAGTGCTAAACAATGGTTCATTCCTAAGCACTGAGTGAACTATTGTTAGGATTTTTCAGGCTTTGGATTAGAAAAATAAGATGATGTCACAGAATTAACCAGACTAGGTTCCAAATTCAATTCCTGAATAGCTTCACATTAGTTTTCTCAGTGGAAGTGGATCATTGTTTGGGTCAGCTGAGTTACTTTTGGGATGAAATATCAGCTTTATCCCAAATCTTGCCAGAACTAGGAAGAGCCCATTCTTTTTTCTGCATCTTCAGAATCGATGCAGCCACTGAATAAGTGATGCTATATTTGACGTGTGGGATGACACATCCCATGATGGGAGGCTTAATGTTGCTGAATGGCCAAATAGGCGCTTTGAGTAGCTTGTCTTCACACAGCTCTATCTTGTACTTGAGCCAAATAATAATAATAGTCACATAAAAGGAAAATTGTTCTCCAACAGTTGCCATTTTTTCTTTTTTGATGAACAGGTAGTCTCAACTTACGACACCAGTTGGGAGCATCAGATTTATTGTCAAATGGTGCACTCCTTAAGTGAAGCACCACATTCAATCTCACAACCTTTTTGCCACAGTTGCTAAGCAAAACATCGCATGATTGCAATTTGCAACCTTCCCTGCTAGGTTCCTTATTGACTTTGCTTGTCAGAAGCCAGCTGGGAAGATTGCAAATGGTGATCACATGATCCCAGTATGCTACAGCTGTCCTAAATGCACAACAGGTGCCTAGTTGCCTAAATCACAATCGCGTGATTGTGGGGGCACTGCGATGGTCATAAATGCAAGGACCAGTCAAATCACTTTTTTCAACACTCTTGTAACTTTGAATGGCTGTTAAACAAATCATCATAAGTCAAAGACTACCTTTATATGTAGGACAATAGTTCATTAGACCTACTCTGGCATAGGTTCCTACAGTGGGAATAGCCCTCAAGCAGAGAATCACCCCAAACATTCCTGCTGATGGGACGAGAGGCAGAAATCAGGGCTGTTTTGGGGGGGGTCCCAAAGAAGCCTCGTCTCCTTACATTCCAGGGGGTTCCTCAACATCTGGGGTATATTTTCAGGGAGATCCTTAAAAGGATGGGGGTAATGAGAAAAGACCTGTCAGACCTGCCACAACTTAAGCCTCTAAATAGAAATGATCATTGGCTCCATTTGTTGATAAAAGTATAGTTTATTAGAGGTAAAGTATATTGCTGTTATGCAAAGCCAGAACTGAGAATTGCACACCAAAATCCCTAAATTCAACTTTTCCCTCCCTTAGCAGTCTCTCATTGCCCACCCCCGTGTAACCAATCAGGTTCAGGTTAGGTATTTTCATAACAGTCAATTAAAGCATAATTTAGTATGCAGCTCCCTCTTTCTTCCAGGAGGTATCTCGAGAAGATACAGCAATCACTTTTGTTTCCCCAACCATTCCACCCCCTTCATTCTCCCTCCCCACAGTTCATGGCAGTCTGTCACCACATAGCAGTGGAGCCCAAGGAAGCATAAAGTGGCAACTGACAGGACCCAAGCACATCTAATGAGAGAATTCCCCTGCTCCATTCAGAGTCTGCATTAAATGAAAGGTGTCCTCTTATTGCTACAGCATTATGGTGGATTCAAATCAATGCACAGAAATAATATCGGTACTTGCACTTTTCACTCCTGTCAGAGCAAGTCTCTATATAGAATGTATGCAATATATTTAAACGCGCATAGTATATTTTAATAAACATATTAAATATCTAGAATAATATATTCTGCTATTAGCATCCTCTGGGTGAGTTATAACAATAGGCATTTATGTTGCACTTTTTATAAGCACAAAGCACATATATTATTCAAGCATTCTTTATGTAAATTGTATAACAAATGTACTTCTCTTTGTATTATTTATGCCCATACTGCAGATGGAAAAAAGGGAAGACTGAGCTTACTTGCTGAGGAAGTACTGTTTGTTTTAATACAGACGCACAGTAAAATCTTGAAACCGAATCCAGTGCTGATCCCTTCTTATGTAATTGATGGTGGCATTTTGGCTTAGATTTTAACTAGCAGGGCATCTGATCAAAGGATGCTGTGATAGGATTCCAATTTTTCTTACAAGTTTTGTTGGTATTTGCCTCCTTCAGAGCTCCCCTTGTATGACTTCACTGGGAGTATCTAAGAATATTAAATACTCCTCCTGGTATGTCTCTGTTTTGATTAAGCTATCAACATACTTGGAATGTTTTGAAATACAGTGTCAAAGTTCCCTTGAGTTGATTCTCCTGGGGTCTTGTTACACAGTAATGACTTTTAATTTTCTGATACAAAAAGTCTCTAACTAAAACAAAAGTGTCAAGTGCAAGAAGCCCAGGTTGTTCAAATGAATATAGGTTTATTATAACTAACACTCTCTACAAGAATCTGAAATACTAATGGTCAGAGTGAATTGGTGGTAGATAAAAGTCAATGGAATTTAAGATGGGCTGGATTTAGGTCTTTTGTGGGTGCGAAGGGACTCAAGACTGATGATGTGCTTGACCCCTCCCTTGGGCTCAGCCTGGTCATCTCCTATAAAAAGTCCATTAAAGCAGGCAAATGGTATCAAAACTTTGCACTATTTAGCATGGCACAGCATTCATACAAGGGAATTATTAGACTGTGTGCTATCATGGAAATAATTTGTAAAAAGGTGCCGTAGAACATATGGAAGTGCAAAATTAATTTCTGTCCGTATCTTTTAAAGTAGCTGCATCTTCTCTTCTGATCACTCAGCTTCTGATCACTAATGAGCTAGCAACCAGACTGATTTTTCCATGTCCATACACTACAAAGCACTCTTTTGGAACTGAATACAAAGCATTGCAATCCTAAAAACTAGCATATTTCGATTTGCTTCCCAGGTTAATCTGAATTATCTCCAAGTGGCAAGAATCTATACAGTCTGCTTCAAAGAGTCTCCTACTACTTCCTCAATCATTCATAGTTAATGTTTGACAGATATTTAGGAACATCTGGGCTAAGCTGACAGCACTTGATATCTGATTTATAAAATGTTGGTCAAATAAGTTTAGGAATGTATCTTTTCCTAAGAGAGTGGAAGCATTATATTCACAATATCTGTGCAGTATCTTTGTTAAACAACTTTTGCTACTTTGTTTTCCTGCCTATCTAAGTGCTATAGCATGGGATTTCTGATTCTAGCACATTCAACTAGTGGGCATCTCAGCTCTACATTCCATTGATATAGTATATCTAAAGTTAAACAAGGAATGAAGATGGCTTTCAACCATGCTGCTATGAACATCTCATTCCCAGAATATTTTTGTTTGTTTGGCCTAGGACCAAATTTTCTTGGAGATTTTCCATATCCAATTGACTAATGCTCTCTTCTAATCTCTGAGTGGGTGATTCCTCTGTCACTTCAGAATCAGCATCAATCCACCAAAGTCAGGGTGCCTGTATAAATATTTGCATTCATTTGTTTCTCATTCATTGGTGAATGAAAAACCAAATCTCTTATCTTATTTGCAAGGCTCAGAGCTGACAGATTTAGTTGTCTCCTGATTTAGTTCTCTCCTGATTGGATGCAAGGATTGACTTGTATTCTCCTAGTAGGCAAACACTTAAATATGAGCCAGCAATGTGCTGCAGTTGCCAAAAAAAGCCAATGCAGTCCTAGGCTGCATTAATGGAGGGATCACATGAAATGTTAATATTGCTCTATAAGGTCTTGTTAAGACCACACTTGGAATATTGCATTCAGTTTGGTCACCACATTATAAAAAAGATGTTGAGACTCTGGAAAGAGTGCAGAGGAGAGCTACAAAAATGATTAGTGGGCTGAAGGCATATGAAGAACAGTTGCAAGAATTGGGTAACCAACCAACTTAGAACTAAGGAGAAATTTCCTGACAGTGAGAAGAACAATTAACTGGTGGAAAGGCTTGCATTTACAAGTTATGAGTGCTTCATCACTGGAGGCTTTTAAGAAGAGAGTAGACAGCCATTTGTCTGAAGTAGTACAGAGGATTGGACTAGAAGACCATCTAGGTCCCTTCCAATTCTGCTATTCTGTTATTCTTGCTGCTTTGCATCCTTATTAATGGTTTCTCCACCAGAGTTGAACTCGATTTCTGCTGTAGTCTTTGGCACTGATCTGGAGCAATTCTTGTGCGAATGATACAATCATGTTACCACAATGTGCAATGTTTTTCCCCCATTTCTGGCATTTACTTCTGGTTTCTACTATGGTATACACTTAAGAGCTGCTGCAAATATATATCTGTATCTATATATCTATATCTATATCTATTTCTATATCTATATCTATATAATCTATCTTATCTATCTATCATTAGGTTTGATCATGTGATACCTTGACCTATGATTTAGGATTGCAATTTCTCACTCAATTACATTCATAAGTTGGGGACTACCTGTACTTGGCTGTTTTAGCACTATGGATTTACATGCCTATAAATGAGCACACTAAAGAATAAAACTTGAGTTTGAGCTTGGGGGGGGGGATATATTCTTAAATTTAGTGGATTTTAGAGCAAATCCACTACATCAGCATGCTGAACTTTCTTTTCCATGATCCCAATCTAAATATTTGTCTATGGAGATTCTCAGTCCTCCAGGTCATGGTTGCCCCAAAAGTGCTTTTTCAAGAGGCAACTGAACTTCCTTTGTTTTTTCTTGAAGACATATTGCTTCTCATCCAAGAAGCTTCTTGGGTGAGAAGCAAAACATCTTCAAGGAAAAACAAAGAATGTCCAGTTGCCTCTTGAAAAAGCACCTTTGAGATATATAGTATTATATGTGGCCACAAAGGGGCAGCCTTACTCTACCGCAATTTCTCATCTCCCCAGTTCCTAAACCCATTTTTATCCCCAACAGCGGAAGCAACAGAACCTGGCAAAAATACATTCAAGGCTTGATGCATGTTTATCAAATCGTACGATTTTAAATCAGTAACTAGCTGCTCCCAATTTCCCCTTTCAACAAAGAATGCTCTATTCCTGTATATTTCAAGGATCCGATTTTTGTTTTTGCTCGTCTTCAAAGACAGAAAATTTTCAAGGCCTTTTGCATAACAGAATCTGTAATGCAGCAGCAGGAGGCGATTTTCCATGATTTTTATCTGAGCTTTCGATCTTCTCTCTCACTCGCCATGCCTCCTGGAATGGCTGTTTTCTTCCGACCATGCAAAATTATCCTTTTTGCTACACTCCAGGCTTAGTAAATCCTTTTCTATATATAATTCAACACCATATCAGCATCTTTACGAAACAGTAACATCATAACACGGTTGGCAGGGAGCTTGGCGGTCTTCTACCCAATCCCCTGCTCAAGCAGGAGACCCTATACCAGTGACGGCTAACCTTTTTGCCGTCGTGTGCCAAAAGCAGGGGGTTCTGTGCGTGTGTGCCTACACCCATAATTCAATGTGCCCACCCCCTGTACATACGTGCATGACCCCTCCACAGTCCCCCCGCTTTTGGCATGTGATGCCATGGTGGGCCTGTTTTTTTGCCTTCCCCAGGCTCCAGAGCCTTTCTAGGAGCCCGGGGAGGGTGAAAACGACTTCCCCGCCCCCCACCCCGAGGCCCTCCAGAGGCCCGAAACAGCCCACTTCCCAATTTCTGATGGGCCCGGAAGGCCCGAAAATCAGCTGGCCACCACGCACATGCACGCTGGAGCTGAGCTAGGGCAATGCTCATGTGCCCACAGATATGGCCCACGCGTGCCATAGGTTCGCCAACACAGCCCTATACCATTCTGGACAAATAGCTGTCTAATCTCTTCTTAAAAGCCTCTAGTGATGAAGCATCCACAACTGCTGAATGCAAGCTGTTCCACTGGTTAATTGTTCTCACTGTCAAGAAATTTCTCCATATTTCTAGGTTGGATCTCTCCTTGATTATTTTCCATCCATTGTTATCCTGCCTTCAGGTGCTTTGGAAAATAGGTTGACCCTCTCTTCTTTGGGGCAGCCCCTCAAATATTGAAAATCATGTCACCCCTAGTCCTTCTCTTCATTAGATTAGACATACCCAATTGCTACAACCGTTCATCATATGTTTTCTTCTCCAGTCCTCCAAACCTCATCTTCGTTGCTTTTCTCTGCACTTTTTCAAGAGTCTCAATATCTTTTTATATGGTGGTGACCAAAACTGGATGCAGTATCCCAAGTATGGACTTACGCCTTAAGAATCATCTTAATCATCGTGCATTATAGAGTAAAATGACATTTGCATCTATAGACGGAGATGTGTTACCTCCTTATAAGTGAAGATCACCCCTGCATATTGAAGAGTAAATGCAGAGATTCCCAAAATAAATCCCAGACTCTGTTACTCTCCTGAGAAACTGAAAAAGCCCTAAAAGGAGAAGATTCCATCTAATGAATTACTTGTTGTCCTGTTTTCCATATTAATTTCTTTGCCTTCAAGCACTAGAGTGACAGAAAATGCACAATATCCTGAATGTCAAATCATCTTTGATGCCATTGTTAGTATCAGAATTGGCAAAGGGCCCCTGCTTTTTTCCTGAAATAAATGTCACACTGCAGACATCCAGCTCAGCACAAAAGGATAAAATTCTTGCAGGTAAGAAAGGAGGGAATTGTATGATTTATGCTTTGAGCTGATGATGGTGGTACCCATGTCAATATACTTAGATCTGAGAAACCTCTAAGCAGAGCCTGAAGTCCAGACAGTCTTTTGACCCAATTGAAAACCTTCTGTTTTTCAAAGCGTTTCTGCAAATTAAAGATCAGCAAAACAAATGAATAGAATGAATATAAATAGAATGAATAGAATAATCCTTAACAATATACCAATCAGACCTAATCTGATTCCAATTATTGATTAGATTCAGAACATTGATTTGGTTTAATTGGGTTTCCAAACTGAACTGCCAGATGAGGTTGCCAAATTGATGGCAACTTACAGAAAGATACTCTTAGATCATCTTCCATTACTTAACATTACATGGACTGATCC